TTGTACTGAAAATGAAATCAATGTCTTTAAAGGTTAGGGCGATCCACCCAATCTTGGTCCCTTTTTATAGGACCCTTGGATGGTTTCCAAATCAAAGGCATTAACAAGTCTGTCGCACGTTTTCCCCTAATTTGAATTAAACCATAGTTGCACATGACAGAAGCTCTCCTTTCATCTTTTGTAGAAAGGTCGCCCAGCTCCTAGCGAGCAAGCCGGGAGCTCCTTCTGGAACTAAACACTTGGGCTGCACCGTCTGTTGAGTCCTCCCTGTGCCTCTCACACCTGGGTGGCCCAGGGTCACATATGACCTAGACCCTGCCGGTGCCTCTGCGTTCTTCCCTTTAGAGAGGCGGCAGATGGCGAGGGCATAGGGCGCTGGTGCTCAGCTCCCCGCCGCAGCCGGGCAGGGCCCGGAACCGAGATGAGAGCCGGGCTGCAACACCTCGCCTGCTGCGAGTCACAGTTTTTTCACACGCTTTTGCCCCAGAGGCTCCTCCGCTGTGCTTTCAAAAGAGGTGAAACTCCCATTCCATTGCCCAACCCGGAAACACCTGTACTTAAAGAGCGGAGCTGAGTCGCTGAAGTTGCGTGTTGAGCGCCGCTAGCACCCGGTGCCCTCGGCCTGATGCCACTGTAAGGTTCCTGAAGCCCCGCGGTTGCGGCCCAGGCTCCAGTGCACTGCTGGTTCGCCACCAATAGCAGCCCTGTCTGCAAGGGCTGAGCCAATGGGAGCTCTAGGAATAATAACAATGACCGCCCACTGGGCTCCACTCGGCGGGCCAAGGCGTTAAGTATTCTCTTGCTCAGAGCTTAGACTCTCTAAACGCAGTTTCCTTACCACTGCCAGACCTACTGCACTTCCCGGAGTCTTGGCTTTCCTCTGGGCTAAAGTGTGCACGTGCTCCACTCTTCCCCGTGCTTCTGTTTAAGCTCAACCCTCATAGCCCGGCTAAACTTCTCAAAAATTAGTAAGAGGAAACGAAAACAGCTTTCTCTCCGCGCCATCAGCATTTGAAACTGGTTTCTGGGCTTACAATGGAAGCCAAACAAGAAGTCTGAAGAAGTTTCTCCAAGTTTAGAAAGCCTCTACTCACTGAAATTGATGTGATTTCACTCGGAGCTGGAAAAACAAAGTCGGCGTCCTGCACACGCTGTCAGTGTTTAGAAAACCTTGCATCCGCTCTTCTCCTTATGGTGAAGTCTTCAATAAAAGCAGCGGCTAACTTTCTAGAGTAGAGTAGAGAGTTTTCTGTGCACCAGGCATGATTCTAAGCCACTTACTGGCATCACCTCATAATGTTCCAAACTACGCTATTGCTTTATTTTACCCTGTGTTCCAAATAAAGAAACAGTAGCAACAGAGGGTCTGGCCCAGAATGCGACACCAGTAAGTGCCAGCGGCAAAATCAAAATCCAGACGTATCTGGCGTATTTAAGTTAGCAAAACTTTTCAATATCCAAATTAACTAAAGCTAAACAGTCTGGAGCCTTTCGCTTCGGGAAAGCATTGAATCGTTCTCTTCTATTTTTCATTTATATTTCATATCATGGTACAGAATATTCTGTGAAAATGTAGGAAATATTTAAGACCTTTAGCATTGCTCTCAGAATGAGTTATGGTCACCAAGATAAGAACTATTGAGTAAAAGAGAGTAAGGAGAAAGGGACACATGCCTGGAATTCCAGCACTAGGGAGACTGAGGCAGAAGGATTCCCTGCGTTCAAGGCCAGCCTAGGGTACATAGCAAAACCTTGTCTCAAAAAAAAAAAAAAAAAAAAAAGCTGAGAAAGTCTCACTTAGCTGAGTGTGTTTTGCTTATTGGACTTGGACGTAGAGATAAATAATGGCATTAATCATCTATGGAGTTAGGATGCATGCATGAACGAATAGTGGGATTGTCTTAGTCAACCTTCAGAGAATTACGAATAAGCAGCAATTCAGAGCTTTGTAAATCTATGTTTGATTTTTATTTTTATAGTGTTCCAATCTATTCTAATAGGAGAGAAGAGGGTGGCTGAAGTTTTGTTTTATTAAATCGTTATCAATTCTCCACGTATTTCATTTAACCAAATAATTCTTAACTTGTTTGTTTATTGACTATTTTTCCACAAAAAAAAAAGTTAATTAGTGTTGATCTAGGAAGTTAAGTGCAGGCTATACTTTTATAGCTAATAGAATGTTCTCCATGTTTCAAATCTGGATTTCTAATTTTCCCTCAGGGACTTACAAGATCTGATTTCAGAAGAAAAAAAAATCTTCTCGGACTGGAGAGATGGCTCAGCGGTTAAGAGCACTGGTTGCTCTTCCAGAGGTCCTGAGTTCAATTCCCAGCAACCACATGGTGGCTCACAACCATCCGTAATGAGATCTGGTACCCTCTTCTGGCCTGCAGTCATACATGCATGTAGGCAGAATGCTGTATCCATAATAAATAAATAAATAAATCTTAAAAAAAAGAATTTCAACCTAGTTTAAAAAAAAAAAAATCTTCTCAACCTTCTATCCAAGGATGTGTCTGCTTTCAAGTGACAATTGTTACAAAGGACAAGACTACAAAGAACAAAAACATGATAACTAAGCAGGTGGCAAAAAAAATGAATTACGGAACCTAAGTTTAGCAAGCAAATGCTTAGGTTCCAATCGTGGGTCTCAAGACCATCCCTGAACCTCCTTCATGGAGAGGAAAGAAATGTAAGAAGCCTAGGAATCTGGCCCAGGATGGTTCCTCAACAAATGTATGTTTACCATTATGTCCACAATATGCCTCTCTGTCTCTCTGCCTATCTCTGTCTCTGTCTCTCTCTGTCTCTGTCTCTCTCCGTGCCTGTATGTGTGTGTGTGTATCTTTGTGTGTATTTCTGTCTCCATCTCCCCACCCTTCTTTATGCTTTCTCCTACACAACAAGACAATCTCTAACTGCCTAACACTGAAAGTCTGTAATTCCTGGCACACATCTTCACATCTCCTCATAGAAGGAATCTTTTGTTTTGTTTTGTTTTGTTTGAGACAGGGTTTCTCTATGTAGTTTGTGGTGCCTGTCCTGGATCTTGTTCTGTAGACCAGGCTGGCTACAAACTCACAGAGATCTGCCTGGCTCTGCCTCCCGAGTGCTGGAATTAAAGGTGTGCGCCACCACCTCTTGGCTAGAAGGAAGGAATCTTTTTTTTTTTTTTTTTTTTTTTTTTGGTTTTTCGAGACAGGGTTTCTCTGTGTAGCTTTGCGCCTTTCCTGGAACTCACTTGGTAGCCCAGGCTGGCCTCGAACTCCCAGAGATCCGCCTGGCTCTGCCTCCCGAGTGCTGGGATTACAGGCATGCGCCACCACTGCCCGGCTAGAAGGAATCTTTTTGAAGATCATCATTAACAGAAATCAAATGTCCTTGGCTGTGATGTGAAAAAAAAAAAAAAAAAAAGTTCCTGACAATCACCTAATGACCAGTGTTTCCAATCAGGAGACATCAGTGGGAACTTGCAAAGGATTCCTGATTCAGGATTCAAAGGACAAGACTGGGTGAATGTGGCCATCAGAACCCTATCCAGAGAGTCTAGAGACCTACCAAATTCATTAAGTTAACCTCTGAGAAAACTGCTGCAGACCTGGGCCCTCCGTGTACCTGCTCTTAACTAAGGGCCTAATTCTCTACTTCTAAACGGAGAGGGGGATAAAAATCTTCCTAGAATGCATATCTAACATCACTTTTTAAAAATAGCAAATATGTCACTGCTAACAATTTTGCTGTTCTAATTATTGTCTGTACAGTGTGAGCAAATTACATTTCCTCTTCTGTAAAATGGGGCCCAAACTGACAGCACAAAGTTGTTGGAAGAAGTACAAAGGGGAGGGAGATTTAAGCATCTCCAACAAAACAGGTCTTCCTCTAGTGTTTGTGGAATTAATACCAAAATGCATGACTCGTGAAAGGCTTGGAGCAAATTTCCTCTTATCTCCCCAAGGTAAAATGGACCATTTCTGTCAAAATGGTAAACAATAGGAAATACCAATTCTAGTTCCATGATTCTTTGTGACAAGAAAATATATGTAAAGGATTTTTTTTTTTTTTGGTCTTGCTTCCTTTTCCTTGAAGGTCCTTCAAGTGACCATAAAAACACTTAGCATGATTAACAGTGATTTTAGAAACCAATGGGTTTTGCCTGCTCTCTGTACAACCCTGATTAACATTAATTCTGTGAATATTATAAATCTCCTGTGACTTATCTTGTTGTGAGGTCTCCTCAAAGATTGTTTTCAAATTAAACTACTTCTTTATAGGGTTCTCTGAAGTTGTCAAGTAATCGAACTCTCATTTGTATCTTTATTATTCTTAAAGATTGCACAAAATGGAAACAAGAGCGAAAGTACTGTATCCACTGTACATCATTCATTATAAAACAACATACACCAAATAGGATTTTTTTAATTTATATATTGCGTGCTTTTAGATTCATGCGTTATTTTACATTTATCATTATTCTCTCATAAATAGTTGCAATTTGACCAACTTGTACATCCACTACCACAGTATACTCAAAGTGGCAAGGAGTGGTCTGTGACAGGAGAACGGATAAAAAACGGAAACAAGTATGTGGGTGTCACATCTACTGTTTTGCCTAGGCAGTGAAATGCTAACATAAAATTCACGCGAAACATCTTTTCAAAAGGCACGACTTCCTCCACAGAAAAGAACGTTTTTAAAACGCGTGGCAGCTAAAAATCATCCCCTTTGAGGGCACTGAGATGCTTATATTGATGTGATCCTGAACCCCAAGACCAGAACGCCTGCAGAGAGAGGGTCTATGCCAGAGTCTAGAGGCCTGAACTGTGGAGACCCACGCCCTGTGGGCTGTCGTTCAACCCATCCTTAAACGTTGTTCCACTCCGGAACTGGAGCGGCTCACTGTTCCAAATCCGACACCCTCCTCAGAATAACCACGGTATCAACCAAGTCTTGTCACCACCTCACTCTACCCTGTCCACGCCCCTTCCCCTTCCTCGGAAGCGTTAGGAGTCGCGCTCGCCTCGGCCCCCAGCCTCAGGGTCGCTCTGGTCGTCCGTGAAGCAGACGTCCACATCACTGTCCTCGCTCTTGGGATCCCCAGGCTCCAGGGCATAGCCTGGCTCCGCGCCCGGGCCGTCGCCCGCCTTGGCGATCAGGCTCTGGCCGGGGTGGCGGGACTTGACGTGACGCTCCAGGTCCCGGCGGCGCACCAGCACCTTGCCGCAGAACTCGCAGCGATAGGGCGTGTTGCCCTCCGCGTGCAGTCGGATGTGCTTGTTGAGATTGCTGGGGTCCCCGAAGGGCCGCAAGCACACTTTGCACTTGAGCGGCTTGTAGCCGGTGTGCGTCCGCATGTGGATCTTGAGCCCATACTTGCGCGAGTACAGCTTGCCGCAGTAGAGGCACAAGTGGCCCGTCTTGGGCTTGCCTGCTGCGCCCCCGCCGCCGCTGCCTGCTGCCGCCACTACGGCCGGAGGCAGCGTCCCCGAGTCCAGGCGGGCACGACCCTTCCCGGCCGCCATCTCGGACAGCTGCTGCGTGTGCATGGCGATCTCGCGGTCGATGCTGGCCAGGGAGCCCAGCTCGGCCGGGCTGATCGCCGCGGCCGCCGCCGCCGCCGCCGCCGCCGCGGGCCCGCTCAAATAGGAGATGGACTCCGGGTATTTGAGCAGCCCGCCCAAGTGCAGCTTGAGCGGGTAATAGGCGGCAGGGGGACCGTAGAGCAGGTCTCCGCTGTACACCGTGAAGGCTGGCATGACGGCGGGCAGCGGGCTGCACTCGCCGCTGGAGTAGCCTTTGAGCCCTCCGGCGGCGTCGAGGGGCGGCAGCGCGCACCGCTCCAGGGGGAGCCCGGGTGCTGGGAGAGCTGCGTAGCGCGCGGCGGGCAGCGCCCCAGCGGCGGGTGGGGCGCGCTCCACGTGCTTGAAGGCCGACACCTCCTCCGTGTGGCCCGCGAGCAGGGGGAAGGCGCGCAGGGCCCCGGGACACGCCAAGCCGGGTGGCGGCGGCTCCCCCGCGAGCAGGCACTTGGGGTGATGGTGGTGGTGGTGAGCGTGGTGGTGGTGATGGTGGTGGCCAGCCGGGCTCTCCCCACTGCTGGGGCGCCCCCCGGCCCGGCCCCCACCCAGCAGCCGGCCTAATGCCAGGCCGGGTCCCTTGCCGCCGCCCTCTTCCCGGTAGGGGTCGCCTTGCGCGGCTGCCCGGGTCAGGCCAGCGGGTTTGAAAGCCGAGCGCACGCCGGGGTAGAATGCCAGGCCGCTGCCGGCCGCTGGGGAGCTGCCCACGATGCCCAGGAAGTGACTGTGTGCGCGGGTCGCCCCGCTGGCATCCAGGGCGCGATCTGGCGGCTCCTTGCCCTTCCTGGGAGTCCCCCACTTGCCCGGGGACGCTGAGGTGGCCGGGGGCGCCAAGGAAACCTCGCGCTTGATGCTCTCCCGCGCCCCGCAGGCCTGGGCGAGTTGAGTGGCCTGTGCTTGGGGCCGTAGAGCGCCTGGCGGGACGGGCGCGGTCAAATCTGGAGCAATGGGTTTCGGAGGGAGGCCAAAGCCTTCTGCCGCTGGGCCTGGCCTGGCCGCGTGCTCCTGATGCAGGAAGGCGCGGCCCCCGCCGCCGCTGAGCACGCAGTGGAAACGCAGGTGTGCCTTGAGACTGTTAGGGTATCTAAACGTCCTCCAGCAGTACCAGCAGATGTAGCGCTCCTCCCCTGGGCAAGAGAGAGTGGGAGAGTAATCCGGTGAGAAGCCAAGGAGCCCGAAGGAAAGCGCCAGCGCACCAGGCAAAGCGCAGATTTTGACCCGCGGTGTGGCAGAAGCGGGAGGGGGTGGGTGTCTTAGGGCTGAGAGATAAAGTTCGGTAACCCTATCAAGCCCCTCCCAAAGCTTGTAAATGGCCAACCCTTGTCACCTCCATCCTCAAAGGCCTACTCAAACAGCAAAATAGGTGACCTGGGCCTTTCCAATGAAGACTTCCTCCAAGCCCCCCCCCAGTAAATCTCCTTTGGAAGAGCAGGGCTCAGGAAGGCTGACCGGGAAGAGCAGAGAGCAGCTGTTGCCTTAAATCAAGTGTTGAGACTGTGCTGTGCCTGCGCCCATCTGTTGGCGTTTTCAGAATAGGTGGCGTATGTCAAGGAGTTTGGATAAACTGAACAAAGGCCAATCTAATAGTCGTGAGCGCCTCATTACCAGGCGAGACAATATCCTGTATGTATGGGCCATATGTAATCATTCCTTTTCATATAACAATGTCTTTTGTGTCGGCTCTCCGCCCTTTCTACCCCCTCCCAGACTTAAACACTTGCCTGAGGTTTTCCTGGAGTGTGGCCAAATGAATCCCCGCATAAGGATTGTGATTTGCTATTCTTCAAAACTATTTGCATCCTTATTTCCTTTTTTAACTTCATCGGATCGGATTGAAGAAAAAAGTCCTACTTCCTGATATTCTATGATGGGTGGATTATATTCTGAGAAGGATGGTGTAGCATTGTCTTATCAGTTCTACCTGGCAGTTAATTAACTCCTAGATAGGTGTGCAGACACAAGCTTAGAAAAGTACTTGGGCGAGATATATTTCATTTAATAAACATAGAAAACTGAGAAAGGTACTCTGCTTTTAAAATACAGAGTTCTCTACCATGAGTGGTGTACTTGTGTGGTGTCAATTCTTTGTGACTCTTACTGTCTTAACTTGCTAGGGTCTTTGAACAGAATCCTGAGACAGGTGTGTGAGGTAGCTCCTAATCAGGGGCTAGGAACTAGTTTCTATGTCCTGCTGTGCATACAAATGCAAATGGTTTTTTAAGTGATTGATTGACAATACTAAAGATGTCCGTGAGAAAGAAGTTGATTGGGCCACAAGGAAATCCCAAAGTACACTGTAGGTCTCTTAAGATTTCCTAGAAAAGTTACATTCTCAGCTCCCACTTTTAAAACATCACTAACGGAGCTTGTCATGGTGGCACATGCCTTTAATCCCTGCACTTGGAAAGCAGAAGCAGGCAGAACTTGGTGAGCTGGAGGCCAGCTTGGCCTACATAGTGAGTTCCAGGCCAGCCAGAGCTATATGGTGAGCCGGTCTAAAAGAAGGAGAGCAGTTTATTTCCAGTAGAGGTCAAATGAGAGCTGGGAGGAATGGGGGGGGGGCGGAGGATATGTTTATAATACTCTATTCCAGTTGTTTATCAGAGACTTACACAAGAGCATCTCAATATCCCGCTGCCTGTGTAAAGCATCTATGTAAAACAACTCTTGGGAAAAGAGGAAGGTGCCCCCTTGATTTTCTTGGAGTGTCTGCAGTTCAGACGCCCCTTTGCAGCAGCTCTCCAGAGTTTTCAGCCTGTTCCAGAATGACTCCAGCAGTGCTAAGCCGAGTACACTGTTCTTAAAATGAAGGGGCAGTCACTCAATCTTTCTATGAAACTGAAACTAACTGAAGTTTGCCAGTATCATAAAAAGAGATGTTATCCCTACTTATTTCTCCCTCTTCCCAAAACTTAAGGCAAATGTGTGTGTGTGTGTGTGTGTGTGTGTGTGTGTGTGTGTGTGTGTGTTATTCCACACATAACTTTTCCAGCTTATCTTCATCAACAGGTTCTGCAGACCCTAAGATTCAACTCTTGCCAAGTGAGTCAAACACTCTTCATAAATGACTTTACCCCTCCCCTCATGTATCTTTAAAGACTTCAGACATGCCCAATCTAGAAATGTCAGGTTCAAACTAGGCTATAACCTTCCCCAACAGCAAAATGGTGGATTTCTTTTTATTATCAGTTGCCATGTGGCATTTATAAAAACCAGTTGGCTGAAGTAAAATACACTAGTTAAACAAGTAACTTTTCTCTGTTTGGTTGTCCCTAATGAAAAACGTTCTGCGTAGAAGTGGCTGGCACAATTTGTTGCAGGGTGACAAGAAATGATTCATTTCTCTAAATAACCTGTCCAGCTCATGAAGTGTTTGCTAATTATCACACTTTCATCTATATTTACCTGTTTCTAAATGGATGCAGCGGGCTGCAGTTTCCGGAGGCGAATGTGTTAAAATATTTTGGAACACTTTTTTTTTCTGTCTATAAATAAATAGCTTCTTGGGAGAAATTATGAACAAGCTAGAACAAGCTAATTGGGGGGGGGGCCAACGGAGAAGGCCAGGGGAAGCCTTATGAAGGATGAGAAGAGAGTCTCAAGACATTAACTGTTTTAGCACCTCCCAGCCTGCTTCCCACAGGAAATGTCCCTCAGTGCTGTGTGGAGGGCTTGAAATGTGTTCCTCTTTAGTTTGCTGCCCCTGAATTTGCATGAATTGGCTCTAGGCTTGGAAGGAATCAAATAAATCTGAGGAGAAGCTGGGATGCATCCCAGACTCAATTTAAATAGACTTAGTAGGGGGAAATGAATAAATACTAATTTAAGGAAAGAGTTTAGTACCTGCCAAGGGACCAGCTATAAGTACCATAATGCTTCTAAAATGCCGTCAAATACATTGCTCTCCTGAAAAACTAACAGAGAAAGAGCACCCGTGCACCTTTTAAAATGTAGTCTAGGTTTAAGCTTTGGTGTCTGGAACTCAAGATGTAATTGTCGCACATTAAGTCTCCCTTATTGGTTCTTCGTTACGTAAATACTTGTCATTCGGGCACATGCAATGGGAAAGAAATAAACCGTGAATTTCATAAGGAGTATTCCTCTGTCACTTGGACCACTTTTGTTACCATTTGCTAATGGTTTTAAGGCAGCAGTTCCCTCTCTGCCAGTGTAGGGCATGAGTTCAGTTTCCATAGAGCTGAACAGAAAGGTTCTTCAGGTCCGGGATCACCTCCCACTACCCAGGAGAAGAGCTGGACTCGACTCTTGCTCACCCTCACTGCTGGGGAGACCTTCTCAGAGGCAGTACCTTTCTCATCATGAGTTGGAGTTGCAGTTGTAGGGATGTCAAACCACTGAGCCAAGGAGTTAGAATACCATACAGTCAGCTCTTCCCCGGGCTGGACGTCTCGCAATGCTCGATAGAAGATCTAGGATGCAATGATAATAATAATAATAATAATAATAATAATAATAATAATAATAATAACAACAACAACAACAATGTTCATTGTTATTTCCTGGTGCTTGAGAATAAGGGTTCAAATGCTGACATTATGACCCTGGAGGAAGCTACTAGATAGCTTTGAATCTCATCCTTCACCCTTTAAATGGCAAAACAAAGGTATCTTCCTTATAGGGTCATTGGCACGTTTAGAGAACTCTTGCCTTTCAAAGTTATTTGCTTACAAAATGCCTGGCTGCTTTAGGGACCATTAGTACATAGAATTGAAATTGACAAGGATAAGGGGCACTGACAGTACCTGTCCTCCTGGTAAGTCTGCAATAGCTTCCAGGGTCTGTTCCTGGGGGTTCCTGGCTGCCCGGATTAACCCTATCCACTCCAGAGGGGAGCCCCCTGACTCGTCCACCAGCTCCCCTCTCACCATGCGCACCTGCAATACAAGCAGTGGTCATTCCCCTACATGCCACAGCCAGGCTCACAACCCAGAGGAAAGATTCTCCTCCACCCCACCCAACTCAGAAAAATGGTTGTGTTCTCTTTGACCCAACCTCTATGAGCTGCTGGGAGAATAATTCCTTAGGGCCCCAGTTTAGAGGATGGAGAAAATAAGGGAGGCTGGGTGGTAGACAGCACCACACACACACACACACACACACACACACACACACACACACACACACACACACACACACCTTGGAAACACGAGCTGGAAAAGGCATCCTCTCAGAGCTCCCGGATGCATCCGGTTGCAAAACACTCCCCACCTCTCCCCCACGTGCGGGTTCTGGGATCCTTGACTCCCCGATAAAAGTGGTTCCAAGTTCAAGCCGGTCCTGAAGCCTGGGGCAGTATTCCTACCCTGTTTCTCAGCCTCCTAATTCTCTAGTACTGCTCGCTCGCTAGTAGGTGCAAGTGAACTCCGTGGTGAAATGCTCAGAACAAAGCCAGCCCAGAGAAATTTTGCCTGCAGCTAGCAGGCCATTTAAACGCAATTAAATTGCGTTTAAAGAGAGAGGCGTGGTTAGCTACAAAACCGGGTGTAGACAGGAATGAGAGGCGAGAAGCTTTCTAGCACCAAGGGGAAGGTGCAGGTCCTGCTCTTCGGACACGGAAGATACGTACACGAAAGCTCTAGGCGGTTGCTAAAGCCAAGGTCTTTCCTTTTTAAACAAGCTTTTGACTTAATTTCCCCGGTTGCTGCCTGCCTGTCTTTGACTTCGAAGGCATCCCCTACCCTCTGCGGGCAAGCGCCTTTAAATTCCCCCTCTAGTCAAGAATGAAGACACTGTGTGTATATGTGTGTGTTGGGGGGGGGGGGGGGTTGGAGAGTTGTCTCTGACACCTCTCGGCTGGGATGTCGTCGGACTCCGAGAGCCAGCTGCAAGGTTCCCAACTGGGTGTCCCCTAGAGGGTGGGGCTCCACTACCTCTCAACTAGCATCAAAATTAATCACCACCTGGCTCATCCTCTCTCCATTTCCTACCCAAACCTACAAGCAAATGGGGGCTTGGTATATTCCAAGAACTAAGGCCCTCACAAGAACTATCTCCTCAGCGAAATGGGATTAACTTGTTTAAAACAAAAATTAAACCTTAAACTAGTAAACAGAACAGGGGGAAAGTCCTTCCCATCCGATGCCTCTAGGGAAAGGGTACGTTTGCCGAGAGGAGAGAAGCAAGGTGCCAAAGAGGTGGGAATTAAGAACCTTCATCACCTTGCTGAGGACACCCCAGAGCGCTGGGGAAATTATCATTTCCCACAGCCCCACCCCACCCCAATACCTACAGACCCTGGCTTACAGAACTAGAGTCCTTTCCCGTTCAGCTCTGCCCTCCCTTCAGCCCACCCCACGTCCAGCTCAATTATGAGACATTCTAAGGATAATCGGATAATTCTACTCTGCAGAATTAGCAGGTGTCCCTTTTCTCCGCTTTTCCTCTCCATCCCTTTCCTGGATCGGAGCAATGAGAGGCTAAAGGCAAGGGACGGAGATCCAGAATGGCCCAGTACCTTTTTCTTGGGCCCTGGTTCCCTGCGATCTGACAGGTACTTGCCCAGCTTGAAGGTGCCAGGCACGGGCCCCAGGCGCAAGCCAGCCGGGATGCAGCAGTCAGCATTCACGCTGGTGGCCGGAGTGCGGGAAGTTCCTTGCATTGTTGCCACTGCCGCCAGGCAGGCGCTGGGGCTCTCGTGGTCCTCCGCGAGGAGCGAGTGACAGAACCAGGAGCAGCCTCATGCGATGAAGGAGCCGCACCCCGACGTGCGTCTTCTGCCCGCGGAGTGACGCGGGCGGGCATGCACTGCGCCTTTTCAATCCGGGCGGGCGCCTTTTGGCACTGCGAGCGCAAGGGCGCGGAGTTTGGTGAGAGAGTTGCGCTGTGAAGCAGCTGCAGAGTCCCACCCGAGAGGGTCACATGGAGTGGTTCCCTCAGCCCCCTGCATAATCGAGGCCTCTGAATGGCTAGCACACAATGGTCCAGGCGACCTTCCCATTCCTAAAAATCCAATTTGTCAAGGGCGAAGAAAAGGCGCTGGTGAATCAAAGGTCCGGCGGGACCATTAATCCTCAGCATGGGGTATTGTCCCTGAGACAGTTACGATATTTTAAGTGACAAATCCACTGTATAATTTCTCCATAAATTTTACTTCCTTTTATTGTTCGCCGACAAACCAGTTTTGGGAAATAAGTGACTACTTTAAGTCTACTTGGCTGATTCCTTTGAGTCTTGGTCTACTTCAAAGATTCTTAATTCTCTCCCCTCGTCTTTATTGTAAAGGAGATTAAACAAAGAGACGGAGACTATTTGGAGGACTTGTTAACTTCTATTGATTTCTGGCGTGTGCCATACAGAAATTAGGCAGGTACTTGATGGGAAAACACCAGAAAATACCTACACTTTTTAAATAACGACCATAGTACCATTTCAGGGATTGGGTTCAGGCCAGTCCACCATTTAGAACTGCTTTAGTTGTTCCCTCTACCCCGATTTGTCCCAAAATATGAACCCACCGGAACAATTTGAGAGTGCGAGGCCAGCTGAGCATCACTGCTCCTGGTCGCACTCAGGACCCGCACTTTCTCTGAGGGTAGGAAGCAGCCACAAAGCCAGGAGCTTCTTAGGAGATCTGTTCTGTGGGTTGAGCTACAGCCTTGAAGAGAGGGGAGTTCTCTGCAGGGTTGTTAATCACACCCCACCCCCAACAAGCAACTCATCAATTCAAACCTTGTTTTGCTTTTAAGTTTAAAACCGGGAGAAAGTACTAACACTAACTTCTCCAGAACCAAAAGGCTAGATTTTCATTTTTTTTTTTTTTTTTTTTTCAGAGCTGAGGACCGAACCCAGGGCCTTGTGCTTGCTAGGAAAGCGCTCTACCACTGAGCTAAATCCCCAACCCCGATTTTTACTTATTTTTAAAGCAAACAACAACAACGGAAATATTGCAATCTCTCAACAGGGAGTGGAGGGAGAGTCATAGCAGGCATTGGGATCAACTCTGGGCACCTTTCCCCACATCCCACTGCCATCACTGAAGCCACCAGGAAACTCCTGCAGACGCTCCAGTGATGTGTCCTCACTCCAACCCCATTCCCACCCCCACCCCATCACAGACGATAGAACAGGGGACCCTGAGCAGCGAGCTCGCTGGATCCTTCCTGTGGCCTTGCACAAGAAGACTCAGTTATGCCGGCCTGGATCAGGAGTGGCTCTGGCGAACAGGATGTCCAGACACTCGAAGAGGGCCCTTAAAGTCGCTTCCTAAACTGCCCTCTGTTGGAAACTTGTATTCACAGCCTTAGGCAGGACCAGAAAACTAACTCAAGACCCAAGACACCTTCCATGAACTACTTGGAGCCTCAGTCTCCAGATCTGTAAAGTGGGACTGCAGCGTGTAAATGGTCCCTTGCCTCCCTTTCCACTACACACCCCAGTTTGTTGGGAAAGTGAGTAACAGTGGCACTAAGGAACTCACAAAATTCGCTGCTTGCAGCAATGGGAAAGTCAGGCCAGGTCAAAGGTCTCAAGTCTAAGCAAACCGAGACAAGACCACACTGGGACACAAAGAAGACCGACTCGGTGGAGCTATGCCTGCTTGGGACACCGGAGAGCCTCTTGGTGGGCTTTGAGCAGCCACGCCTATGTGTCTGTGCACCTTGCCTGGAACTATTTTCTAAGACTCTCAGTTTCACGCTCAGCCTTCCAATCGCTTCTTTGGGGTAAAGAAGGCTACCCTCCAGAGATAGAAGAGAGCCTTTGATCCCAGGGCCTATGAATGGCAAAACCGGGGGAAGGGAGAAGGAGGGGACTGGGGAAGCCTCTCCGATGAGTCCAGGGCAATAAATTTTAAGCCATGAACATGTCCCTCTAACCTCTGGCCTGGCGACTCCGGATGACACCCAGTTTAACTTACCAGCTCTGCGAGCGAGAAGGGGGCGAGCTCCGGGCCTGGGTTCGGGGCGCCTCCCTAGCCCTTCTTAACCAGTGAAAAAGCGTGAACGACACGCGAACAATTTTATCAATAGGACCATGTAAAGGCCGACTGTGAGGAAAGTTATTTATTAATATAGCCAATTGTGACTGGTTCCCAGCTCCGGGAGAAGAAAGAGACTGCGCCAGAGGCATTCACACCAGCTCGCCGAGTTTTATTCTGTCCTGTGGCTCAGAGTTGCAGTTCCCCAAGTGAAATAAATTGTCCACAAAGGAGAAAAGGAACACATTTTCTTTTATTTTTCCTCCCCTAAAAAGCAAGGGTGAAACCAATCTAATGTGCCCAGTGGAGCAAGATGGGCCGTGAAAGGCTGGGTGTTAAAAGTAAAAGCGGGCTGTGCAGCAAATGGGATGGAAAATTAAATGAAATTAAATAGCTTGAACGGCCGTATTGTCCCTTATTAAAAAGACACATTAATTACATGGTCTCAGCCTTATTCAAAGACAATGTTGAGACTCAATCAAAACATTCCACTCGGCTTTTTTATCGACTTAAAATGGGCGTCCAGAGGCCCTGTTAAAGCGAAATCCCTCCTACACGGAGGTGCAAGGAGAGCGTGGTTTGGGGCGGTCCTGCAGCCTGCCCAGCGCGGATGGCACCCGGCTCCCGCGGCGGTAACAGGTTGCCTAGGGAGGCTCCCTCTCAGAGAGCCGCAGCGGGCTGGAAAGGCGAGCGGCGGGGGCCCAGCCCTGCGCCCCTCTCACAGCGCTCGCCCTGGCCTGCAGCCCACGCCCGGCTTGCACGGACTGCGGGGCTCCTCCACGCAGGAAAGAGCAGACCTAGGCCTTCCTGGCCGAGCGCGGTCGTTCATCTCGGAACATGCTTTTGGGGGGCGATCGGTCTCGGCCGGGCAAAGGCCTCGTTCCCGGGGCCCCCTGGGAGGCTGAACTGGCTGCCCCGCGTAGGTCCAGGAGTCACCGAACAACTGCCAGGTCCCCGCTACTGCGCCGCGCAGTCCCAACCCGAGATGGAGAGCACCGGGGAGGCCGCAGGCAGGAGCCGTGGGTTCGGTGGCAATCTTGGGGTCTGCGCTGGCCCGGGAAGCGCCCCCTGCGGGTGTCTGTGGCGGCTGGGCGGCCGGGTCAGAGCAGACCAGCTGCTCTGCCCCCGAGGCGCGGGTGGGACATTAAGGCCGGGTCTGAATAGGAAGGCTGCGACGAGCTCTGGGAACGCCACCAGATGACGCGCCGGCGACGGGGCCTTTTCCCCCCTTAATTGCGTGGATGGTGGGTGCGCGGCGGCCGGGAGTCTCCAAACTTGTAGCCAAGGGCGCAGCCCGGACACCGCTGGTGGGTTTTGTGGTGCCTTTTTGTTTTTTGGGTTTTGTTTTGGTTTGGCTTGGTTTTTGTTTTTTGGGTTTGTTTTTTTTTAAGTCTGCCATTGGAAACGACTCAATAAAAGTATTCAGAGTCCCTCTCAAGTTGCCTTTTAACCGGAGTTCCCCAACTTATTTCTTGGTTCTTTCGGTTGACATGGTGCAAAGAAAAGTCAGCGAGCGTGCTGCTGAATTGCAATGTCTTGGGGCACCTCCACATTCACGCTTCTCTGCCGGCCTCTGCCCGAGGAGCCCGCGCTCAATTCGATTTTCCTTGCTATTGGGCACATTTAGGAGCGCCTCTATTTGTGAAGTTCATTTCTAGGCAAATGTATTCAAGAGCTGATGGGAATGAATAGGACCGTGTGTCAGCCGCCCCTAATTGGGATTAAAGCACTTAGGAGCATATGCAGAGACTGACAGAAATTCTCAGGTTGTATTGTCTTCAGACTTCCACCCGCTCGGACGCTCCTCCTCCAAGGGAGATTTATAAAGATTGCAGAGAGAAACTGAGGAAAGAAAAGGCAAAAGGAAAAGAGCCGGGCTAATAGCTCAGGATGGGGCTGCAGTTCAGCTAGTGGAGGTGGCAGCTACGCAGAAAAGACTGCAGATAATTGAGCGCGGGCGGGGGAGCAGGTCCGAACTCTAATCTGAAAGGCGGAGAGTTAAAAGGCGAAATAAAGATGTTCTTGAGGCTCCCAACCGCCCCTTCCTTTTTTTTCTTTCCCCAGAAGAACCTGCCTTTATTTCTCTTTATCTCTGCCGCCATTCTGCACCCCAAAGCACGTAGTACCCTCTCTCAAAGGAATTATACACAAGTTGATACCTGAAACGAAGAGGAAGGAGTCACGTCGGAAATAAAAATAACTTTTGCACTGTTGAAAAGGTCGTGCTCAAATAATCCTGGGAAAGTTTCCTGATGAGTGTGTTAAACATATGCACAGTGTGTGGAAACACAAGTACAGTGAGTCCTCAGGTGCATACAAATTGTGTTTGAATAGATCGTCTATCTGTAAATCTCAGTCCAGAAGTGCGCACTGAGGTGACAAAACCTTTTAAAATCTGGGAACTGGCGTGGCGCTGAGGCTGAGAGAGTTTTCTAAAGAAAGGGCAATGGCAGCCTCCTTACCCCTCACCCCCAGGAGCAGAGAAGCCTAAAAGATAAGGTAAATACTAAACAAGAGTAAGGATTTCCAGCGTTATCAGGATTTTCTTGGTTTCTGAGTTGTTTGACTCCACCTGGAAGCACTGCTTTCTTAGAGGACTCTGAGTCTGGGTGTCGGAGCACAGAGTAAGAGGGAGGCTTCTCACCACATCCTTGTGGGTACCATTTTGGATTTGGTAAGGTAAGAAGATCCAAGAATATATTTCCAGTTAAAAGTTATTGTTAAGACTTAAAGATGACTCTTCATGAGCGCAGGAAGGAAAGAAAAACTAGGCGAGGCTCTGGAGAGTCACCAGTAGCTTCTATGATGAATTCTTGCTCCAGACTTG